AACAACAACAACAACAACAACAACAACAACAACAACAACAACAACTAAGTAATCACAGACAGAGTTGTTTCCAAACACTAGGGCTTTTTTAGTTCTTGAACCAAAATCAATCACAGCCAAGGCTGGAAAAGGCCATATCACCAACCAGGGAGTGAATAATTTTTCTACTTTAAGCGTTCCAGAAATGCCAGAAGCCCTTCTCCCTACAGAAACCACATTGCAATTGACATCACAGATGGGCCTAAGTATGCTATTTTCCCTGAAAACAAAGAAGGTTTGAATTTCTCAAAATACAGTGCACTCCATACAGAGTAGACAAAGATCAGGTCTTTGCACTTTTAAGCACATCATCTCTCTGCCAAGAAAAGGACAATGAGCCATTCTCAAAGACTATTTGCAAAGTACAGGGTTAAACTATTTTGTGCATGTAGTTAAAGCCAGTCAATGAGTCCGTGGAAAAAAAATATCCATGAAATGGCTTTAATATGTACTTGTTCATCGTTTGTACAAGCATTTATCTTAGAAGGATGTGCTCATCTGTTCCAGTCACTAACATTTATACCTATTCAAGCCACAATTAACTCTTATTGAAAATGTTGGCTTCATGGTTATTGTGTTACTTAATCATGTTTATGGATAAAGCCAGTTTAGACATCTCAGTCAGGCATATCTTGTAGAACAGTCCACATCACAGTGGGGAGGCCACAAAATATCTTCTAGACAGACGCTCTCCAGAAGTTGTCACCAAAGAAATGTGAATGCAGTGTTTCGTGGTTAAAATGGAAGGAGAGGGGAATTCTCAAATGTTCTATCTTCAAGGTACATTTACGGTACCACTGAGACTTTTGTGTGTAGGTACAGATACAGATGATATAGATGTGGATATTGACATAGAGAATAGTGTAATTAAATAACACAGTGAATGTTTAAATTTAAAAACGTATTACACTAAAGGACACATTTCCATACCCCCCAAAAAACACTCCTCCTTGCTTTGAACACACATACCCCATTCTTCTTGCCACTTTCTGAAGCAGTTCTGAAAGTCCCCTTTCATGTCTTTTTAAGCCAGCTTTAATGTTCTAAATTGATTCAAAATATTTATGAACATTTTTGTCAAATAAAAACATTATAGTGTGTCAATATCTGCTTTATTCATGGAATCTGGTATTGTGTGACTTCTGGCTCTTCTCCAAAGATAAAATGACCATAAAAGAAAGATCTATCACAGGATAATTGTACTCAAAGCACATGGGAGTATTCTGAAGGAGATTCGTGGCAATACATCTTTTATTGCAATAACTGTTTAAAATTTAAACATTAACTGTATTTTGTGATCACATCTTGTACAGATACACTAATGTGGATGGGCCTAATTCTTCTCTCAGCCAACAATAATCTCTGTCTTCTTTGAGGGTAGAGAAGAAACTAGAAAATTTATCAAAGTATAGTGATTCATGTGAGAAATTTTCCCCAACACAATGTAAATACTTAAACAAATGTCATCAAAAACAGGCAATTTTTTCTCTAATCAACTTCCTTTTTTATTTTTTTTTTCCACTAATTCTGGTTTTAATGGCAGTGCAATAGAGAAATACAAGGTTTTCCTAGAGCTTGAACCAACAGAAGATTTAACATACACCTAATGACACTACCAAATAGTCTTATAATAGAAACGTATCCCATGCTGCAAGGCTGTAGATGGTGTGCAAACAGGATGAAGATGGTTTCTTGCATTAGGTAGAGTAAGAGGGATAACTGCCAACCCAGCATTGTGAGTGTACTAATTTGGAGAAAATCCTCTTGTCCTGGTGATGGTTTCACCTTCCATATCTTTTAGTTGAGTGGGAAAAGAGTTTGCTTCCTCCAGTTTTACATTTTCTTGTTAATACACATTTTGTTTCAGTAGGGTGCGATCCATTAAGCCTGAGGGAGTCCTCCAGGGTGTTTCTGAAGTATTATATACACATCTGTTTGAGAGCTCAGCTTGTCTTCTTAGAGCATTTAGTTCTTTTATTGTTAGACAAAATGATAGCAACAAGCACGTCCTTTCCATTTTCCCTTCCATCAAACCCATTAAGATGCAAAGTTCTTGTCAAACATCTGGCTTTTAAATCGGGGTGAGAGTTAGTGAAGAATTTTTTAAAAAGATAAAAAATTCTTTGTCAAAACCCCATGCTCTTTAAGTATGGCCTGCACTGTAACTGTTCCCCATAACACTAGTTTTCCCATCCCACTACTGGCCTTTAAAATCTGTCCCTATCGGAGGGACAGACTGTGGAAACTAGGCTCATGTTGCTCCCTTCTGGAATAGTCTTCATTTTCAAGATTTGAGTTATGAGAAAACAGAACCCCATGCTGTTCCCCACATCCTTTTCAACCCTGAAAAACAGCAAAGTCCTCTTACTAGAGCCGTCCAAGCATCTCAGCTCTGCTGTGTGCAGAGTGGCTTCCAGGTGGAGGGGCGTGGACTGCAGGGCAGAGGGAGCAGAAAGGGAGCAGGCAGAGGCTTCAGGTGGACTCTAAGGCACATCCTATAAATCCAAAGGCAGGTTGGCCCCCGGCACTCTCCAGAGCAGGTGACCCGATGCAGTCTGGCTCCCTCTTCAGACAGCTCATCAGTGAGGAAGATGAAACATCCTCACCTCCGTTATTCAAACTCGGCTGGCTCTCAACTATGACAAAATAACACAGGAACATGCCCGTCTCCTTAAATTCTACTGTGTTGTTTGATGGACAGTGCCTCTGGTCTTTTCCTTCTAAGCCATACCATTCCAGAGACAGTAATGGAATGTGGTTCCCTAGTCTTGTTGGGGGTGACTTCATTGTTTGTTACTTGGGACATCAGTTCAGCTAGCTTAGGCTTTGTCAGCATTCATGTGTGCCTTAGCTACTAGACTGCAAGATGGGATGATGTAAGATCACAGAAGCTGCTGATACGACTGACAAGCTTTAAGCAGGACCCAAAGTGGTCACGTATTCCTTGACTTTCAGAACTGTGCAGTATTTTGTAGTAAAGTCTGAGGTGCAGGCTCTGGAGGAACAGTGATACAGAAGTTATCTGGCTATAGAAGAGTCTGAAGGACACTCTCCCTGGAAGGATGAAGGGAGAGTGCTTCACTTCCACAGGAAACTGGATCCGATTGTTCTGTGGAAACAGACAGCACCCTTTCCATAGGATGTCTATATACTAAGAGGTACTATGGTGATTAATGTAAGTACAAGACTGAATCAAGCTTCCTATCTTTTGGAAAAAAATTTTTTTTCATGGAAACTAGATACTCTTCACTAGTTTATTGAATTAAAAAAATTGAAGATCCTGCACTTCTAAAAGACCCTTTTACATAAAGTAGAACTTCTAGTTGACAGATTGAGAAATCAGTCTGAATTAGACACACTATGGATGCAACACAAATATGAAATTTCCTCACACCACTACCTTGACATGGATCTGATACCCTCCCTCAAAAGAATCCTATAAAAAATTGCTTCAAAGCCCCTTTGAAATTGCAATAGTGCAGCAGAACCACAAGTAAACAATTGCCTGTTAATCTGCTATTTCAAATAGACTGAAAAGCCAACAGGCAGGTTTTTTGTGTGTGCAATTTTTCAAAACAAATTGTAAGTTGCAGTATCAAATCTGCACAGCACTGTCCCTTCACAGAAGGTAAGAAACTTCCGGTGTATCATGTCAGAGGCCGTCCTCAGTGCTGTAGGCTGTGAAAGCGGGCCTCCTGCAGGGTCTGGTTGATGTGGAAGTAAGGGCCTTGGAACAGCGCGGACTGCTCAGGCATGGGCTGAGGGGTGTTGGGGCTGGATCCGGGCATGACCTGGTTTAAACCACTCTCTGGCCCACTGGCCAGGTCTGGGCTATGGATGCAGGTGCTGCTGCTGCTGCTCCTGCCACTGTCACTGCTCGAAGACTCTGTGTCCCAGGAATCCTGAAAGACGGGGTTTCTACTACTTCTTTTGGCAGGGGGTAGGTAGATGATTATCTTCTTCATTGTTGTTCCTTCTCCTTTTCCTGGGGCGGAGGCACTCACTCATCTTAGCTGGTGGAGAGAAGCGACGAGGCACTGCTCCGCGCCTCTAATCAACTTTCTATTGTGAGAAGCAGACACTCGCTCATCTTGGCTCAAGGAAACCCAGGGGTGGGATGGCATAGTGAGGACACAACAGGCATGGCTTAGGCATCCAGTGGCAGAAAATTACACATGTCCAGGCCTCTCTGGAAAGAAGCAATTCAGAAACATGGTCTTCTCTTTCTGTTTTTCAAAGGTCTCTTTCCATGTTCATATGCTCCGCTCTCCTTCTTTTTCTTCCTAAGTCTCTGTGTTTGTTCATCTTACACATGGCCACGATAGGAATGCCAATCTCTGATCTCTCAGCTTAGATCCTCTTAGTCAAACTTCGCGCTGTGTGTTTTAGTTTAAATTCCCAAAAGAAAGGTTCTCATTAGCTACTAGTGAAACAATAGTTTCCTGTTTTGAGGGGGTCAGGGATTTCTACTTGACTTAATCAGCAACAGGAGATGGAACTAACAGAATATAACGCTTCTACTTGCAGACTATACAGGCCACAATCCAGACAATACCGCCGCTGTGGAATTCTGGAACCCATATGATGGGCAGCAACACTATCCTAATTTTGCTATGAGCCATAACAAACCATACTACTCAAGAACAAGGGTGGCAGAAACAGTAGCTCTCCGACATCCTAAAAGTTTCCCAATGACCTGAGCGACAAGAAGTATGGACACATAAAGGTTTCTAAAGTTTCCCTATATCCTACAAATGAATAAAAGAAAATATAATAATGTATTAATGCCTGTTGTGAGTTGAATTGTGTTCTCCAAAAGATAACGTGGAAGCATTTGGGGATAGGGTCGTTGCAGATGATCAAGTGATAAATGAGGTGATGCAGGTGGATCCTAAGAGGCCGTCCTCAGTGCTGTAGGCTGTGAAAGCGGGCCTCCTGCAGGGTCTGGTTGATGTGGAAGTAAGGGCCTTGGAACAGCGCGGACTGCTCAGGCATGGGCTGAGGGGTGTTGGGGCTGGATCCGGGCATGACCTGGTTTAAACCACTCTCTGGCCCACTGGCCAGGTCTGGGCTATGGATGCAGGTGCTGCTGCTGCTGCTCCTGCCACTGTCACTGCTCGAAGACTCTGTGTCCCAGGAATCCTGAAAGACGGGGTTTCTACTACTTCTTTTGGCAGGGGGTAGGTAGATGATTATCTTCTTCATTGTTGTTCCTTCTCCTTTTCCTGGGGCGGAGGCACTCACTCATCTTAGCTGGTGGAGAGAAGCGACGAGGCACTGCTCCGCGCCTCTAATCAACTTTCTATTGTGAGAAGCAGACACTCGCTCATCTTGGCTCAAGGAAACCCAGGGGTGGGATGGCATAGTGAGGACACAACAGGCATGGCTTAGGCATCCAGTGGCAGAAAATTACACATGTCCAGGCCTCTCTGGAAAGAAGCAATTCAGAAACATGGTCTTCTCTTTCTGTTTTTCAAAGGTCTCTTTCCATGTTCATATGCTCCGCTCTCCTTCTTTTTCTTCCTAAGTCTCTGTGTTTGTTCATCTTACACATGGCCACGATAGGAATGCCAATCTCTGATCTCTCAGCTTAGATCCTCTTAGTCAAACTTCGCGCTGTGTGTTTTAGTTTAAATTCCCAAAAGAAAGGTTCTCATTAGCTACTAGTGAAACAATAGTTTCCTGTTTTGAGGGGGTCAGGGATTTCTACTTGACTTAATCAGCAACAGGAGATGGAACTAACAGAATATAACGCTTCTACTTGCAGACTATACAGGCCACAATCCAGACAATACCGCCGCTGTGGAATTCTGGAACCCATATGATGGGCAGCAACACTATCCTAATTTTGCTATGAGCCATAACAAACCATACTACTCAAGAACAAGGGTGGCAGAAACAGTAGCTCTCCGACATCCTAAAAGTTTCCCAATGACCTGAGCGACAAGAAGTATGGACACATAAAGGTTTCTAAAGTTTCCCTATATCCTACAAATGAATAAAAGAAAATATAATAATGTATTAATGCCTGTTGTGAGTTGAATTGTGTTCTCCAAAAGATAACGTGGAAGCATTTGGGGATAGGGTCGTTGCAGATGATCAAGTGATAAATGAGGTGATGCAGGTGGATCCTGAATACCAAATTCATACTCTTTTATTTCTTCCAAGCATTTTCCTTAATCCTTCAAGTAAGGGTATCTCTTTGCAAATTTTTCTTTAAATTGCAAGATTGAGATAAAGTTCCAAAAACATAAGGAAGAAACTAAGAACTCTGGCTTGAATCAGAAAGGAAACAAAAGGCACAGACACATACCAAGGTACAAAAGCTTTTGCTCTAATTTTTATTCTCATTATTACCTGTTTGCAGTACATAATGATTGCATTTATTATGGAGGCTTGGGAACATGTGCATAACACGCCCTAATTATTTCTATTTCCTTTCCATCCTCCTTCCTTCCAATTCTTGGTTCCCTTCCCAACTGCAAAATATCTAAGATGAAAACTTTTGGAAGCACTGAGTATGAGGAAGATTTTTACAATTAGTTGAAAGGAGAGACTGGAAAGATTTGGGAATGAAGTGAAGCAGAAAGGGGATTTGTACAGGTTTTGCTATGGTTTACGATTTTTAAATTTAAATATTTTAAATTTTATTTTATTAGTACATGTTTGCAGCACATGGAATTTGTATTTGTCTTAGGCAGTAGGTACATGGGCATGACATATCTTGATTATTTTTTATTCTCCTTCCCCTCCCCACCCTCTCTTTTCCTCTGTCTCTAGATGCCCTTTCCCCATTTTCATCATCATCATCATAATCATCATTATTATTATTGCTTTCTTAGTTCATGTTTATGACATATAATGTTTACATTTACTGTAGGTGTTTGGTACACATACATGACACATCTTTAGAATCATTCATTACTTTTAAAAAATGTTCTTCCAAAGACCCCAAAACTAATATTCTTATTTAATATATTTGGATGCTAAAGTATGCTGTATGAAAATTGCTGGATATTAAGACACAGCACAGAGAGGCCTGGACGTATATGGGAAAGTCTATAATAAATGTTTCTATTTTTCAGGTTAAATTGAGTGAATACCCATTTCTTATTTCTAAACCACTTTTCAGACATCTCCTAGACATCTAAAAAATTCTAAGATTGAATGCCAAATTTATCTTTCTTATTGTACTGTCTCTGCACCTTTTTCTCAAATAGAAGGCTGGGTATCCCTTTCCATAATTCCCTGGAAGAAAAACCAACAGTTCAAAGCTCTCCTTGGAATAGAGAAATATGGAATTCAACCATCTTTTCCTTCAATATGCACCACTTTTTAAACAGATGGAGATCTGTTATTTGTAGAAAGTAAAAATATGTGGATAAATAGTAAAACAAGTATTTCTTTAAAGCTTCTGTCTTTTGATGTCAGTTCCCCAACAGACTATATCCCTTGTCCTCCTTTCCCCTCCCCCAATTTAATGTCCCCTAAATTTAATGATATCAAGTTCACTGCCATTTAAGTCTCTCTTCATTCAATAGCTGGGGAAATTGTCATTGGTATGCAAACTGGTCTCAGGCAAGGAACATTACTCTTTAATCTCTAATTTTAATTGGTATGCCATCACGCAGACTGGGGCTGCTAATGGCCTAGTTTGTAGATTAAGACCAACAGACCTGAACTGCAGTACGTCATTAGTTACAAATAAAGAGAGGGAAAACACTGAACAATGATAAAAGGGGGCCATTCCAAATGAGAGAGAAGATGATTCTTCCTCATCTTCTCTAAGGTTCATGACCCTGTTTCAATGTCCATTTATAACAGGATTCGAATTAATGCTTTCTGCTTGCTCAGATAATTTCAGAACAGTTGGTAAATTGAAATGATTTGCTGCATATATACCAGTGTTATTGGCTGGCCCAGGAAATGTTGCTGAACGATTTGCTCACAAATGACATTGTTTCAACTGATAGAGCTGTTTCTTTCACTAGGAAACAAATAATTTAAAAGAAAAGAATCTTTATTTAAGGACAGTATATTTTTTCCAGTGGAATTAACCACCAGTTTCTTCTCACCTTCTAGTTAGGTAACAGTCTAATATATATTAATCTTCAGAAGATTAATATGTTTGTCACCATGAAGAAAGTGAAAATTTCAATAGGAAAAGATATCTATATTTAGATACATAGAAGTGAGATAAAATATAGATAGATGATGATGATAGATAAGAGGGAGATAAAATATAGATAGATGAAGGGAGGGCAGGGGTAAGGGGGAAAAATGAGAATCAAGACTTGTCATGTAGAGGTACAGGATCCCAATGATGAATGTAACTGTACTGTATCACTAGGATGTACCAATAAACTCAATTATAGCTGAAAAAAATATAGATAGATGATGAAGAAGATAGATGATAGATGATGGATAGATAGATAGATAGATGTGAAAAGTAGCATAATTAAGGGCTACATCTATTTGTCTCTCAGAAGGAACAAATGAGAACCACTGTCAAGAACAAAACAGTAAATATAAAGAAAGGAAGCTTTCATTGGTCTGGAAAGAAAATATAAAAATGCATCAATGCCTATTGTGAGTTGAATATCTTCCAAACATATGTTGAAGTCCTACCCCCAACCTATAAATGTGACCTTGTTTAGAAATAAGAGAAATAGGTATTTGTGATTATCAAATATTGATAATGGTCATTCAAGTGAGCCCTGTTCCAATGGTATGTGTCCATATTAAAAGGGGAATGTTACAAACAAAGTCTCACAGAAGGAAGATGGTGTGAAGACCCACAGGAAGAGAATGGTCACATGATTAGAGTGACATCCCTGTTAGCTAAGGAACTCCGAGGATTACTAGGAGGTGGAATTGGCAAAGAAAGATTCTCCCTTGGATCCATCAGAGACAGTATGGCTCTACTGACACCTTAATCTTGGGCTTCTAGTCCTTAGAACTATGAAACAATAAATTTCTCTTTTTTGAGCCACCCAGTTTGTAGTGCTCTGTTACAGTAGCCCTTGCAAGCAAATGCACTGCCTATGATGATTTCATATAAGTTCCCCCATTGTCATTATTGTAACCTACTTGCAGTGTCTCCTTTTCTAAGAAGTTTGGTTTTACAAAAGGTCATACAGAAATTTTTTAAAAAGTGTAACTAATAGTTATTGCAGTCTTTCATAAACTATCTGTTTTAATCTTTAAACACCGCTGAAGGTACATATTATCCTTTCTTGTCCAAAGGGGAAAACTAGAGCTATGATACATTGAACATCCTTCCCCAGGAAGCATAGCTAGAAATTAATAGAGCTGAGATTTGAGCCAACACCAAAGCCTGCTGATACATGAAGCAGTCTACTCTATAGTACTGCCTTTAATAATTTTTCAGGATGAGTAAAACAAGGGAAAATATCTACTAGGATTAATAAAAATTTTGGCAAATAATAGCAACATTTTGAAGCCCTTGTTGCTGCAAACTACCATGCAGGAGCTGGTGACCCAGGGAAAGAGATGTGGAAAATTGATGAGTATGGGGAGATGAGAGAGAGCTCCCCTACTGGGCTGTGCAAATGTAGAGGGAGGCAGATTTAGGCTTTTACAACAAATACCTTGATACCTTTTATGCATTTCCAGAGATCCAGTTTAACAATAAAAAGAAGGGTATTTTTGCAGAGATTAGCCCCAATCACACACCTGGGTCCATTTTGGACTGGAGTTGTAAATAGTGCAGGACACCCCAAAACATCCTTAACTGTGCAAAGAAGTTGAAGTTGTGCAGGGAGTAGACAGGTAGCATGGAGAAAACAGGGTCCAAGATACATGGTCCTTCCCTTAGTCAGATGGGGAAAGCTTCCTGCCCTGACAGGGGGTGGCTGGTTTCTCCAAGCCCAAGAGAGGCATATCGTACACTGCAGGGGCCACTAAAACATAGTCTTTCCTGTTCTCTCTTTTTTCAGCCACAGTTGAGTCAGCATTTGCCCTGGAAGGATGTTGAGACCATTTCTGTTTTATTTTTGTGTGTGGCAATGGCAATATTTCCAAACCTTGCACCTCTGAAACACTTTCCAAAAACAATGGACAGCAAGCACAACAAAAGCAATGAATATTTCATATAAATAAATAATAGTCATTACTCAGATAATAATAACCATCATGTATTTAAAGCAAGCACCTTGCCTGCATTACATTGCTGGTCCTCTCAG